AAAATTATTTTGAATTTTTGAACATTGAATTTTAATCCAATTATGAGTAAAACGCCTTACAGTTCGAGTTGCCAATTAGCTGGCCCGATACAGCTCGTAATTTTTATGCCAAACAAAAATATCAAGTAATTTCTTTTTTTTCAATATGGTACACTTTTTACGAAAAAATGGAATTTTTTTGCAAAAAAAATCGCCAAATTAAAAAAAGAAATAAAATTTTTTAGATAAAATATTAGATTTCCTTCTATATTTTTAAATTGCAGGATAGCAGAATGAATTATTTTCAAGTTTAAGATAATAGAATTTATGTTAGTAAGAACAGGAATTATACGATAAATAATTTGAACATTTAACAACTTAGAACTTTCGTAAAACTAGCACCCCAAAGGGAACAAATATTATAATATATCCACGCCGTTGTTCCTGGGTGACGCTAAATGTAATAATAAAATTGGTGTCGAAAGTAGGGGTTTCCATTTTAAAAAAAAGTTGACCTCCAAATGACCTTGACATTGAGGTTGAAGGTCAAATCGAAGGTCACCATCGAATTCCTCGTCGAAAGTTAGTCCTAGAACGACCTTGAGCTTCGTCGCAAAAACACAAGCCTGAGTGGTAGAGTGTGGCATCAACCCATACCTTGATGAGGCCAAATGACCTTGAGCTACACCACCGAATTCCTCGTCGAAAGTTAGGTCTAAAACGACCTTGATCTTCGCAAAAGCTTTGCTACCTGGAAAGTTATTTCCTTGATTCGTTACTTTTTGGACACCCTGTATAAGGATAGTGAAGAAAAAAGAAAATAGAAAAAAGCAGCCATTAAACAACAGTCTTAAGCACTAAACTGTAAGAAAACAAGATGGAAGAATGAGGAATGGGAAACAAACTAGCAATATATGAAGATATCTGACCTTACAATAGCCTTAAATGCGCCAAAACTAATTAAATGGATATCTATGGCGGAAGAGAGATTGTTGATGATATTGCAGAAACAATCAATGACAGAAATGTGGTTGAGGACACTTTTGCGGGAATGGATTAAGAAAGTGGAGTGACAAAACCGAAGAGAACGAAGTGGGACTACGTAAAAGATACGATTGGAAAGGTCACATGAATTTATTAAATTATGGCATAATTTGTAAATAAACAGAGCAAATTTGTAATGAATAAATGATGATATGAATGGTATTTTAATTGACTGTGCTACGATTGTATAGTCATGTGAAAAAGTATTCATACGACGACCAACCTTGCTGGATAAGAAACGCAAAAAGCGATGCTGAATGACCTCAAGCGATCTGGAGTGAATGTCATATTGAGGGTCCCAGATCTAAGATGTGATTGTTGTGCGAAGAAGAGCATTATAAATAGCAATAAGAGAGTTGGGCTGCTTAAAGGCACAGCATTTTCTGAAGACAAGAGGGAGGGTGCGCAAGGCCTACGAGTACAATTGGTTGACATGAGAAACAAAACTCAGTCTACCGTCAAAAAGCACTACCAAATCCCTGAATTCAGAAACCTAGCCAATGGCCTTTTTATCAATGACATAACTTTAGATCACAGGCACTTTACTATCCGAAAAAAATAGAGTGTCACATTTAGCAACATTCAGCATCAACCCGTTACGCATATACCAAATCCGGAATCTTGCCATGTCCAATTATAAGTCCAGTACATCGGCCGGAGAACTGACAAGCTTGAATAATTTTTCATCGTCCGCGTAAAAGGAAACCCCAGAGGATCTGATCACACTAACTGCGTCATTAATAAAAATGATAAAAAAACAGCGGACCAAGGTGAGAACCTGATGGTACACCAGATAAGGCCGTATACGCGGACGAGACAAACTGCAGAGGCCTGACAGAGTACTGACGACCAGATAGAAATGAGGAACACCATGAAAGAATAGGACCATAAACACTATAGAACATGAGTTTAGATAACAGTAAAGGATGATTGATGCAGTCGAATGCATTGCTGAGATAAGTGTAAATTGTATCTACCTGGGTTTCATCACCAAATGCATCGACCAAGCATTCCGTGAATTCAGTAAGATTAGTATTGGTTAAGCGTTTGGGCAAAAAACCATGTCAGAAAGAACTGATTGTACGGTCAAGAAAGGATGAAAGCTTCGTAGAAACAATGCGATCAAATAATTTAAAAAGCATATTCAATTTCGCTATTAGACGATAGTTAAAAATATTGAGCTTATTACCCTGTTTTGTAAACGGCGATAACGTAAGCTTGCTTCCATGATGAAGGAAAGGTATCAGAAAAGAGAGAAAGATTAAAAATAGTGAGTAGCAGCTATGCCAAATTATCCATGCAATTTATAAAGAATAACGATGGAATGCCATCAGGACCGACGCCAGACGAAGACTTGATAAGACCAAGACCATTCTTAACCTCCTCAATTAACATAGTTGCGCCAATGAGTCAAACGTACTAGAGAAATTGGTAGAAAAAGGAGACGAGTTGAAAATCGAAGAGAATCGCGTGGCGAAAAGATTAGACATATTTAGAACGTGATTCACTGTGACATCATTAAGGAACATACTATCCGGAAATCCAGAAGGACCAATATCACGATTGACAAATTTCTAAAATTTTCCAGGATCGAAAGTCAAAAACTTTTCAGTGGCCTTAAGGAATAAATCAAAATCTCGCAGCAAGAGACGCTTGCACTGCATTTTTAAGAACCTAAAGTCCGAAGGTATCAGTCCAAATCCAGATTACTTGAACAGGCAATGAGCCTTCCTCTTTTTAGAAATGGCTACACGCAGCTCCTTTTACATCTATTTGGGTACGTTCGGTGTCAAAGTATTAATAAGTGGTGTATTGCAAACAATGGTTTTAGAAAACTTATTGTAGAACAGAGATCGACAGAAGTCTCCAATGGCATTAAGTTATCCTTAAATAAGTCGTTTAATCTCTATTCTCGAAAGCATTGCATTAATGGCTTGGTGAGTCGCTTTATTGAAGTTGAAGATTGTTATAGAGCTATTAGTTAGAAACGGAGGAGAATTGAAGTGCATAACAATAAATGGTTCATAGAACCTGTCTGATGGTGCCAAGGGATCCAATGGATTACTTAATACTCCAAGCACGTTACAGATGGCAAGGTCCAGAATATCCCCCACAGTATTAGTAGATGAAGCCAGTCGAGAGCACTGTAAAGTGTTCATACAATATACAAGACGATAGACTGATGAGCGGATGTCACGACTCGCGAGAGCACCATTAATGGAATACAGACTGTTGAAAATGGACCAAGGGCAGCGTGGAAGATAGAAGAGTCCATTCACAAGCGTAGTTGCAAATGGATAGGCCTATGCAATATCCTCCAGAGTAGAGCAGAAAGCATCCATAGAGGTAGAAAAGGACGAAGGAGATAGTGACGATAACAGCGGTAAATAGACCACTGAGAGTAGCAAGGTTAACTTAAAGTCAAGCTTGAGATTATGCTCTAAATTATAATTGCAAATTTTAAGAGAAGTAAAATGCGAGCAAGCGTCCTCAATCCATATAAGGATACCTCCACCCCTAGACTTGCCACTTTGCAACCGACAGTGATCACTCCTCACACACTTGTAGCCAGATATCTGTAACAGAGCGTCGTCTATCGTGTCATCCAACCAAGATTCAGTCAGAATTATAATATACTTTTAGCCATTAGTGATGATATTTTGGAGAAAGGAGTCGATTTTGGATTTCAAACGTCCTATATCATGGTAATAAATTAATAGACTATAAATTTTATTGGCTAAAATTACTGGTTTTTTATCTTCAGGATGCCATTTATATATATAATTTTGGCATTGTATTATAGTCCTATTCGCGCTGTATTATAGTCCTGGTCGGTCCACGATTTATACCAGGGATCGATTTAAAAATATCCGGAGCTTGGTGTATAATACATAATGCATCGTCAGGGGACCAAAAAAAAACCTTAAGATCCTACTTCCGTACCGCTTGCCAAGACGGAGCGTGGAGATGTTTGAGACATTGCAGTCTGATGCAACAATGAACGACGCAAGATGAGTGATGTCAAACTGAAAGGCAGAAGTGATAGACTTAATTTGCAGAGATAGTTGATGGGTCTTATTGTTAGTTGTCATATCATCATACAGAGTGACAATCCTCTATTCGATGGTGTCAGAACGAGTCATCAGGTTCTCGGTAACATCGGCTAATTTGACGGATTTCGCAGCCAGATCTTCAAATTTTGCATCGAAATAGCACTTCATATTTTCGCACAAAGACGTAACAGCACTAATCTTATTAGACTGTGTTAGAATATGAAATAAATTTATGCACAGCAGTACGATGCAATCTTTGAAATTTTGGTGAGTGCTGAGTTGTGTAATTACAACTCAGTAATTATCGGATATAAAAGCTCCGAAGTTAAGCGTCTAATTTCAGTGTCTATGCAATACCACTCGTTAAATATGTTAAATATCTATAAAAAGTAATAATCCCTTTTTACTCATACTTTATTTCAATCACTAGATAGTTTGATTGTTTTATTTGCGCAGCTCCGATGAAAATATAACTCGCACCCCGGGCACTGTATAGTATCACTAGTGTTGATGAGACTATTGGTAGGATACGAAAAACACTTTGGTTCGCACACATTCATTACTTGCGAATTTAAAATATACGAAGCTAAGCTACAAAGCGTATACGTTCTCACTCGAGCTAAGCTGGACTGATATTTAATCCATAAATTTGAGTGATTTTATTGATTCATCATGAAATCTAACACCACAAAATATATTTTCAATATAGAATTAGTTCATTGAATAATTTGTTTGAAATTGTACGCTTTTATAATCTTCATTATTTTATATATAAATACAGGTGAAACTATGAAATATTACTATTTACTCCATGCTTATAAAACTTTAACATGAATGTATTACTTGTTATTTTATGAAAATCATAGAACATTCAAAAAACATTCAAACCATGTAATGATCCTAAAATATTTTCATAATTTGCAGAGCTGCCTCTCAATAGACCAGTTATCAATGGCTTGAGAAGCAAATATCGAGTTAATGACACGTTAAAACTTAACTGTTCATCAAGCTTCAGCAATCCAGCTGCTAATCTTACTTGGTATATAAACAATAAGCAGGTTAGTGAAAGGCGAATAATGATATTAAAGGTCCCGATAGTGGCTTGTAACGTGAATACCGAATACATAGTTTATATACAATGGCTTTGATATTTAGCTATTTTTATTTTATTTTTGCAATATTTTTTCATTCAATACGTCATTTAGCAATAATTAATTTTGTGGCTGTGATTTATTCAAACTTTTTTCAAATTACTGAAAACAATTATATTTTACTAATTCCACGTAGCTTTTCCATCGGGTTATCTGAACTGCCGAATTTTTTTCTTCGATAATTTCTTTTCTATTATATACTTTTGTTACATATGTCATTCGTTATCTATGTAACATATTACATTAGTTCTTTCTATTAAATGGTTATCTTATTTTTATCTATTAAATAGTACAATACTTTAACTAATGGTATCAAGTAGTATATTATACTCGTATATTACTTTATTTAGTGAGTACCAAAAATAGATAAAATACTATAAGAACAGATTAGAACATGTAGAATAGTGATTAATGTTAACTAATAAGTATCAAAAAATAAATAGGAATAATATCTTGAAACTACAAGATAGTAAATGATAGTAATAAGAATATCCATTACATCCAATTACACATACTATATAAGATTAAGTTGTACATGAAGAATGTAAACAAAAAGTATATTTTGAAGAAGATAAGGAAAAAATGGTAATAGGAAAAAACGTAGAAACAAATTTAACTTCCTATTTTGAGTTAAATAACATTGATAAATAGGCAAAAAAGTATTTATATTCAGAAATATGTGACAGGGTTATAGCGATGTTCGCTAGCCCTGTGTGCGGCACTCTCCTCGCGTGAACGCAGCGACCAAGTGTATGCTATATAGCGACTACATACTTGTGTCATTGCAGGATATGGAGAGAGGAGCGCGCGACGATCGGCGAGGTGTCGCCGTGAGTGCGAGTGAGAGCGAGAAGAGCGAGAGAGAAAGAGAGAGAGAGCGATTTTGACTGATTTTTGACGGCGAGAAAGGTGGGAGCGCGGCGGCGCGGGGCAGAGAAATTAAGGGAGAGGGAGGGCAGTTAGGCGCGAGCTCTCGAGTAATCAGGGCCGCCTAGGAGAAGACTGGACAAAGCGAGATTTTGGCCAGAAAGAAACGACTGCCATCCATGCGACTGCCACGTTTGCCAGGAAGCTAGTTGTCCGAAGCAGAGCCAGTACACGCAGCGACCATTCAGCGTCTATGAGGCAAAGGCCGTGCTGCGGCCCTCCCTGCAGCAGCTTCCATCGTCGCCAGGGCACCGTTTCCTGCGGGACTACGTTTTCGCCGGCGTCGCCTCTCTGTCGACGGACCGTCGGCATCCGGTGGGTCCAAAGCCAGTTAATCTCTCTCGCGCCAGCTCTCGCTCGATTACAGACATTAGCGTATTTTGAAAATTTATCGCGCACGCCGAGCGATCTCGCTCGCGTGATCCCGCGAACTCTGGTCGCGGAAAGGTTGAGCGAGCGCGCTCACCGCGGTGAAGTAAATCTTGTAGCGATATTTGTGAAAAGGGGTCAATAAATGAGATCGCCATATGTAGTATAGGTAAATTAAAGTGTCCGATTATTTGTATTAACCTCCCCAACCAGAGCGAACTTCGGCCTGTGAAAGTCAGCGCCGGCTTTCTTTACCGAGAATGAACCCAGAAAAATTAGCAGAGACCAGCCCAAGGCGCACGGTGGCTGACCCACTCTTGCATGGCATCCCTTGTTTAATCTCGGCGGGTTTCGTTGTTCGCATCGCTTTGTTCTGGTTGGAAAGAGGTGATCGCGATAATTCCCTTTGTGATAAGTTTTGAGCAGTGCGGTGTCTCGGCCGATCAGGACTTTTCGGCGAATTCGCGGAGTAGCGAGCGAGAGCCGTGGAAATAGTTAGGAAAAGGGAAATTTTAGTTGCATGGGACATTTTGAGTTTTCGTCATTATTGTGTCGTCAACACATTTGGCTCGAGTTACGCGGAAGCCCGGAGTTAGTGAAACGGGCTGAGGCGAGTATCGCGGTGTTGTGATTAATCGATTACGCTGTAAATTTGTGTGCTGTTATTGCGCAGATTGCGATTGCTCGAGTCGGGTGTTTTGGCTAGTCGAAATTTGTACGTTTGAATTGTGTGTTTGTGAATTTGAAAGTTGCGAGAATCGCAACGATTATTCTCGGCTGTTAGGATTGTTGCTGAGCGAGAGCTCAAGGTTAGAAGTGTTTAGAGGCTGAGTAAGGTTTTTGTGTTGCGTATTCGTACCATAGGCATGCCGGCTTGTGCACGTTGAGCAGTTCTCGAAAACAAAGAGGACAAACGCGCTTAGGCCTGTTGAAGATGAAATAGACCGAGGAAAGCTTGGATCTGTTTTGGTGCCTGTTTGTTGACCGCGCGGGATCGCGTGAAATACGATGCCGGTGACGAGATCGCCCAAGCATCGGAGAGCTGCAGAATCGCGGCCGCGGCCAAAAGCGTTTAGAAGGCGGGTTATGAAAATTCCTGTAGTAAAGTTAATATGGGAGCATATTCAGGCAATGCAAATTCAGGAATTGCTGATATGGATGACGTCGAACGGATTAGTTACGGACGGTACGACCGCGATCGTGAGGGACAGGGCATTTCGCGCATTTTTATATAGCTTGCGTCATGAATCGGCACCGCCTGTGAGAGCTGACGATTTTCTGTCAGGTGAAATACCGACTATCGTTGATGCGAGAAGCGCATCATCGGCGCGGGTCAGATCACTGCTGGAAACTTTAGAGGCGGAGGTGAACGCAGCGGTAAACGCTCGACGAGAGCGGAGTGACGTCATGCGGCAAACACGTGCGTTACCATCGGAGACGCGAGTTCGCGCCACAGATGGTGCGATTGCACGTGAGGAGGTGCGCGGAAGGGATCAAAGAGCGGGCTTGCATCGTTCGGTGCCGACGGACTTCGCGCCAGCTCTGAGTATTGCGAACACGCAAACAGAGATTGTGCGAACGCGCGGAGCGGCGACCGGAGAGTTTCCACGGTCAGGAGCCATCGATGTGGCAGCGCGCAGTAAGAACGGTTTGGCCGGCATGGTTAATTTCGGCAGCATCTAGGGTAAATAATGCCGAGAGCCTGGGTGAACACGAGGATGTATCGCAGATAGCAACGCAAGGCCCGGGAAGTACGAGTACGCCGGTGCGTGATGGCGCGCAGCCGGGGGCGAGGCACCGACCTTGTGAGACGAATTACGATCAGAAGCGCGTGAATGATACCGCGGGTGCGCGGTTAGGCAAGCGTGAAGCCGGTAGAGAGCCTGATGAAGCAGCGGACACGGACTACGATTCGGCGCTCGACGACGACGAAACGTGGCTGGAGAACGCGTCAGATGAAGAGCGCGCGAGCAAACCGAGAGGCCGATTTCTTAATGGGCAACAAGCAGACGCGGTTACGGCGGTAAAAAGTTGGTCTTTAGCATTCTCGAAGAAAGGCGGACTGACAGCGGAGCAATTTTTGAGGCGATTGCATGAAATGCAATCATTTTACAGATTCAAGGACGCGGAGATATTGTCGGTGCTAATGTTGTCGTTTACTAGCGCGGAAATGGCTTTATGGTGGGAAACGAATAGCCCGAGCTGGGATACATTGCAGGATTTTAAAGATGAATTCCAGCGCCACTTTTGTCCGTGGCGATCGCGCGAGGATGTTTACGACGTGCTACGCCGTCGAACTCAAGGCGAAGATGAGCCATTAGGTGAATTCCTCACGGCCTTCCTGTATATTGCGAGTAGGTTAGAACCGAAGCTTTCGGAACGTAGACAGCTTGAGTTGATTAAAAGTAATTTATACCCGAAACTTCGCAATTATATCAGGGCGTAAAAGGTTCAAACGCTCAAAGACCTTCACGTTTACGGGAAGAGATTTGAACGCAGACGAGACATCGAGAATCGCTACCGCCCGCCGCCAGCGCCGCAGGAGTCGTTGATACCAGAAGTTGCGTACCGCGGAGATTCGTCAAAAAGAATCGCGAAGACTAGCAGCGGTGCGAACGTTGCGATGGGCGAACGGGTTTATGCGGTCGGGAATGAGAACAGTAAGGACCGCCAAGGAAAGAAAAATAAGTCGGCAACAAAACCCGTAGGCAGAAGCCGCAATCCGGATAGTGAAGGTGTAGCTCAACGAGAGGATGTGGATTCATCAAAAGAATTGCCGAGAGATATAGTGGCAGTGTTATCACAGCTAGTTCATTTGCAGAGGGGCCCGCCCAGGGGAAATGCGAGCCTTGCTGCGAGGAACGCTACAGGGCGCGTGACCTTTCAGGGCGTATGCCACAAATGCGGGGGGCTGGGACATCGGAAGGCTGAGTGCCCAAGCCCAGAGAACTTGAAGTCGACGCGAACAAGCTCGGAACCGTTGGGGGCGGAGGCACGAATGGCAGAGGGGTTTCTAACCAAAGTGCGAGTCGTAATCGGGGAAAGGACCCAGTGCGCTGCTACAAATGCCAACAGCTAGGACATTACGCGAACCGGTGTTCACAAGGAAGTAGAGCGGGGTTAACGTGCCAAGGCTGCGGTAAGGAAAATAAGACGTTGAAAACATGTCCGCAATGTCAGGTGTGGCTCAAAGCTCTGGAAAACTTAAAAGCGGGACCCAGTTGCCCGACGCATTCCGCGTAGTTGTGGGTAATAGGGCACCCAACGGGGCAAAAGTTGCGTTCATGAGGCTGTTCTACAGCAAGTCCGCAGAGTTTCAACAGCGGGTGGAGCGAAATGAAGCTAGATTGGGCGCGAATAACGCGAAAACAGAGGCCTCTATGCAACGCGAGGGCGCGAAAGGTAGAATCAAGGACAGTTCGAGGAAAGAGTTCGACTGGATCGAATTCAACGAACAATGGCTAAGAATGCGTGAAGCAGATCCTGAGCGCAAACGAGGAAAACGAGCGTTGGAGGCACGGGATTCACGCGAATTAGAGCGAAATCAAGGAGATGGCCAAGGGAGCCCGACGCTCGGGCGTGAGTCGAGAGGTGAATCGACGAGAGCGCGC